CGTGATCTCAGCTCACTGCAACCTTCACCTCCTGGTTCAAGCAATTCTTCTGCCTCATCCTCCCTAGTAGCTTGGATTACAGGTACCCGCCACCATGCCTGGCTAATTTTTTTTTTTTTTTAATTTTTACTAGAGATGGGGTTTCGCCATGTTGGCCAGGCTGGTCTCAAACTCCTGACCTCAGGTGATCCACCCACCTCAGCCTTCTAAAGTGCTGGGATTGCAGGCTTCAGCCACTGCACCTGGCCCCAAGTTCATCCTGGGAGTATAGGCCTCCTTTGACAGAAGAGGAAACTGAAGCCCAGAGAGTGTGACCATCTTGCCCAAGCCGGCACACACAGGAAGTGGCAGAGCCCAGCAGAATTGAACTGGGACTTTTCATGTGCAGGTTGGTGTTTTTCCTCTGAAGCCCCTGCCTCCTGCAAGTTCTTCCTTCTCTGAATGCAACAGACCTGGCCTCTCACCTTCCCACACCCTCAGAACTCAGTCTTCCCAGGCTTGCATTCACAGGTCATTTATGTGGCCCCTTGCCGTCTTCCTCTCAGCCCTCCCCAGGTACCTGCCATGGCTGTTAGAGTATGGGGCACCTGGCACCCCTGTTACAAGGAAAAAAGTGGTAAGACCAAGGGAGAGAAGCCCTTTCCCCTCTCCAGGCCCTCCTTCCTGGGTCATTGGTCCCATGACAGGTACAACACTTAAGGGCAGGCTGGACAAAATGGCTCACGCCTGTAATCCCACCACTTTGGGAGGCTGAGGTGGATGGATCACCTGAGGTTCGAGACCAGCCTGGCCAACATGGCGAAAACCCGTCTCTGGTAAAAATACAAAAATTAGCTGAGTGTGGTAGCGCACGCCTGGAATCTAAGCTACTCGGGAGGCTCAGGCAGAAGAATCGCTTGAACCCAGGAGGCAGAAGTTGCAGTGAGCCAAGATCGTGCCATTGCACTCCAGCCTGGGTAACAGAGTGAGACTCCATCTCAAAAAAAAAAAAAGAAAGAAAGAAAATAACAACAACAAAAACCACTTAGGGGCAGTCCCTAAGGTAGGCAGGAGCAGGCTGGACACACAAGCCTCTGGATGCTGTCTGAGTGCACACTGCTGGAGAAATCCGGGCACTGTCCAGGCCATGTGGCGTGAGGTGTGTGGACATACAGGGAAGGAGGTCCAGGAATCAGAGGTCCAGGGGCTGTGGGTCTCAACCACAGCGCCTTTCTTGGGGGAACAGGAGCTGTCGTAGCCTCAGGGTCTCACCTTCTGTGCTCGGGAGTCACTGAGGCGAGACCTCCGCTGCAGCCTGGCTTTACCTTCTCCAGCCTTCCTGTCTGCACGAAAGCATCTTGTTAACCCAGGGCTTAGTTCCAGGCCTTGCAGCTGACATCACGAAAGTGCAGGGATTCCCCGCACTGGCCCATGCTGAAAATAGGGGACTCGAGTTCCAGTCTTCCTTCTGCTACCGATCAACTCTGTGACCTTGAACAAGACTTCCCCTCGCTGACTCCATCCTCATCACATCTGAGGCCTCCAACTCCTGCCCCCGAGCTCAAGATTCCCAGCCAACCCCACGGAGTGCCCCACAGGGTCAGAGCTATAACAGAAGTTGGAAAATAACCCAAAAATTGGTGCATGGTTCTTTTCTTCTCTCTCTCTCTCTCTTTTTTTGTTGTTGTTGTTGTTCAGATTTTAATTTCCCTGTGTAATAATATTGTTTTGCTATCACTTTTCTTTTTTATTTATTTCTTAATTTATTTAGAGACAGGGTCTCACTCCCTCACCCAGGCTGGAGTGCAGTGGTGGGATCATGGCTCATGCAACCTTGACCTCTTGGGTTTAAGCGATCCTCCCGTCTCAGCTTCCAGAGTAGCTGGGATTGCAGGTGAGCACAACCACGCCCAGCTAATTTTTTTTTTTTTTTTTTTTTTGAGAAGGAGTCTGGCTCTGTCACTTAGGCTGGAATGCAGTGGCACGATCTCCGCTCACTGCGACCTCCCGGGTTCAAGCAATTCTCCTACCCTTAGCCTCCCGTGTACTGGGATTACAGGCACGTGCCACCATGCCTGGCTAATTTTTGTATTTTTAGTAGAGATGGGCTTTCACTATATTGGCCAGGCTGGTCTTGAACTCCTGACCTCGCGATCCACCTGCCTCAGCCTCCCAAAGTGCTGGGATTACAGGCGTGAGCCACCGCGCCCAGCCATTTTTTTTCGTTTTCAGTAGAAACAAGGACTTGCTGTGTTGCCCAGGCTGGTCTTGAGCTCCCGAGCTCAAGTGATCCTCCCACCTCGGCTTCCCAAAGTGCTGGGATTACAGGCATGAGCCACTACTCCCAGGCTGCTCTCACTTTTCAATGAGGAAAATGAAGTCCAGAGCAGGCCAGTGACTCCCCTGGCGTGAACAGAAGGGATGGCTACACACAGGAGTCTACATCCCAGGATTCCCGATTTCCCTTCTCTCCGTCCTTATCCGTTGCTACATTCCTTCCATTTTCTGCTGGCCTAACCCAAGCTTCAGCTCATAGGCCAAGACCCACCCGGCTTGTGGAACCTGTATTCTAATCAATGGAAACAGTCAGAAAAGTAAATTGGGCCAGGTGTGTTGATGCCTGGAATCCCAGCGCTTTGGGAAGCCCAAGGCAGGAGGGTCACTTGAAGCCAGGAGTTTGAGACCACCCTGGGCAACATAGCAAGACCCCTGTCTCTACAAATAGTTAAAAAAATTAGCCAGGCGTGGTGGCACACACCTGTAGTTCCAGCTCCTCAGGAGGCTGAGTGGGAGGATTGCTTGAGCCCTCAGTGAGCTGTGATTGCATCACCGCCTCCAGCCTGGGCAACAGAGCAAGACTCGGTCTCTACAAAACTAAGAAAATAAATAATTTTTTAATTAAAAAAATGCAAAAGTGAAAAAAATGTTTAAAAATGTAAAAAAAGGGCCGGGTGCAATGACTCACACCAGTAATCCCAGCAATTTGGGAGGCCGAGACCGGCAGATCACTTGATGTCAGGAGTTTGAGATCAGCCTAGCCAATGTGGTGAAACCCCATCTCTACTAAAAATGCAAAAATTAGCTGGGTGTGGTGGCGGGCACTTGTAATCTCAACTACTCAGGAGGCTGAGGTAGGAGAATTGCTTGAACCCAGGAGATGGGGGTTGCAGTAAGCTGAGATTGTGCCACTGCACTCCAGCCTGGGTGATAGAGTGAGTCTCCACCTCAAAAAAAAAAAATGTAAAAAAAGATGTAAAAGTGAAATGTTCATTTGAGACAAGACAAGGATAGCCATTCAGCGGGGCAGCCAGAGACAATGGGTATAGTGCAGAGATTGGAAGAGAGGACACTCCAGGCAGAGAGGAGTTTCCACAAGGGCCAGGAAGCACCAGGGGGCTCATCACATTCACGAGTTGAAGCAGCAAGTTGCTGGAGCTGGCACAGGGTGAGGATGAGGTGTGAGGCTGGACGCATTGGCTGCAGCCAGGTTAAGAAGAGAAGAGGCCAGGTGCGGTGGCTCATGCTTGTAATCCCAGCACTTTGGGAGGCCGAGGTGGGCAGATTGATTGAGGTTAGGAGTTTGAGACCAGCCTGGCCAACATGGTGAAACTCTGTCTCTACTAAAAATACAGACCAGGCTCGGTGGCTCACACCTGTAATCCCAGCACTTTGGGACATTGAGTCGAGCAGATCACTTAAGGCCAGGAGTTCGAAACCAGCCTGGTCAACATGGTGAAATCCCGTCTCTACTAAAAATACAAAACTCAGCCAGATGTGGTGGTATGTGCCTGAAGTCCCAGCTACTTGGGAGTCTGAGGCACGAGAATCACTTCAACCCAGGAGGTGGAGGTTGCAGTGAGCCAAGGTCATGCTACTGAACTCCAGTCTGGGTGACAAAGCAAGATTCTTGTCTCAAAAATAAAACTAAATTAAATAAAAATAAAAATAATTAGCTGGGTGTGGCAGCACACACCTATAATCCCAGCTACTCGGGAGGCTGAGGTGGGAGGATCGCTTGAACCTGGGAGTCAAAGATTGCAGTGAGCCAAGATCGTGCCACTGCCCTCTGGCCTGGGCAACAGAGAGAGACTCCATCTCAAAAAAAAAAAAAAAAAAGTTAGAGGAGCAGCAAGGGATGGGGGCGTGTCAGGGAGCCCTAAGAGAAGATGGAGTTTAAGACTTTTTTTTAAATTAGAGATAGGGGTCTCACTATGTTGCCCAGGCTGGCCTTGACCTCCTGGCCTTAAGTGATCCTCCCACCTCGGCTTTCCATAGTGCTAGAATTACCAGCGTGAGCCACAGCACCCAGCCAACCACCTCCTACCCTTTCTTTTAAAGACAGGATCTAGCTTTGTCGCCCAGGCGGGAGTGTGCTGGTGCAATCCTAGTTCACTAATTGCAGCCTCCAACTCCTGGACTCAAGTGATCCTCCCGCCTTAGCCACCCAAGTAGTTGGGACTACAGGTGTGCACTACCGTGATTGGTTAACTTTTTTTCTTTCTTCTTTTTATTTTTTATTTTATTTTATTATTTTAGAGATGGATTTTCAGCATGTTGGTCAGGCTGGTCTCGAACTCCTGACCTCAGGTGATCTACCTGCCTCGGCCTCCCAAAGTGCTGGGATTACAGGCGTAAGCCACTGAGCCCGGCCACTGGCTTTTATTTTATTATTTATTTATTCAAGATGGAGTCTTGCTCTGTCACCCAGGCTAGAGTGCAGTGGAGTGATCTCAGCTCACTGCAACCTCTGTCTCTTGGGTTCAAACTGGATTCTCCTGCCTCAGCCTCCTGAGTAGCTGGAATTATAGCTGCCCACCACTATGCCTGGTTAATTTTTGTATTTTTAGTAAAGACAGGGTTTCACCATGTTGGCCAGGCTGGTCTCAAACTCCTGACCTCAAGTGATCCACCTGCCTCGGCCTCCCAAAGCCCTGGGATTACGGGTGTGAGCCACTGCGCCTGGTCTTATTTGTTTTTAATAGAGATGGGGTCTTGCTATGTGGCCCAGGCTGGTCTGAAACTCCTGGCCTCAAGGGATCCTCTCACCTCAGTTTCCCAAAGTGCTGAGATTACAGGTGAGAGCCACGTCACCCAGCTGGGATTCAAGATTTGAGAAGTAAGGCAGTTCTGGGTGACAGCAGAGGTTGGGAGGGGCAGTGGAGAGAGCCGAAGGGAGGCTCAGTGTGGTCAAGGGGATGAGCAGGTGGCATGCCTCCAGGATGACAGCAGGACTCGGGGACGAGCTAAAGACATGCCAGGCCTCTGTCTGCCCTCACCTTCTGTCTCCAGATACTGGAGCCCCAGCTGCATGGGCTGCCGGGGAGTGAGCTGGCACCACTAGGAGGTGCTGCAGGGGGAAACTGTCTGGACTCCGGAGGCTCCAGCCCCACTTCCCTGTCCAGCTCCAGCGGGCTGTGGGACTGCTCCCTTGGTGGCCTGAGGGACTGCTCCCCCGGGGGGCCTGCGGGACTGCTCCCTCGGCAAATGCTGGTATTTCCCTGGCGCACTCGTTCCCACGTGGCCTGGTGGGCAGTGCCCAGGGAGGCTGAGGAGGCAGAGAACAGGAAGAGGAAACCCCCCTGGTTTCTATCTCACAACAGGGACCCGGCAGGGAAACCCCACACATCCTAAAAAGAAAGTGGCAGCAGTGGTTCTCGGGGAAGACCAAGAAACCCCATCCTCTCCTTGAAGATGGGAAATCCAGGGCGGGGCTGAGGGCGGGGCTGTGCTGGAAGGGAGATCTGTGGTCCATGCGGCCCAGCCCTGATCATGGTCTCTACAGAGCAGAAACACCAAGATTATTCTGGGACCTGGCTGAGCCCTGATCCTGACCTCAGTCAACCCGAGCCTGGCCACAGGCTGAGCCCCAATCCTGGTGACTGCCTGAGCTCTCATCCCAGCCAAAACCTGGACCCCCCCTCCTCCCAGCTCAGCCACAGCGCCAGTCAGCACCTTGGCCAAAGACCAAACTCTAGACCCAACCCTACAGGCTGCAGGCAAAGCCCCAGGTCACCAGTAGCTCTGATCCTAAACCAGACACAGCAGGAACATTGGCCCTGGACTAGGTTGTGAGTTCAGCTGTAGACTGAGTCCTGATCCTGATTATAGGCTGAACTCAAATCCTATATCTGACTCTGGTTAAAGATGGAGACAGAGCCCTTGGCCCTGAAGGAAGCCCTAACCCTAGTTCCAGACATGGCCTCAGACCTGGTTTTATCCAGCCCTGACTGTGGTTACAAACTGAGCCCCAATCCCACCATCACACTGAGCCTCTGCCTGGCCCCATGCAAAAGTGCATGCAGCCACCCATTGAGCACTGACTCTCTGCGCCACCTCCGTCGGCCATCTGGTAAGCCGTAAGGGAGTCAGATGACTCAATTCCCGGGCTCCCTCAGGTGGGCCAATCCCCTTACCTGGCCATCCATCTTTGGAAGGACAGGAGACCCTAGGATGGTGGTGGCAGAGCTGAGAATTAGCAGGGGGTTTGGGACTCTGCGATCAACCAGTGAATAGGGCTGGATGGCTCACCCAAGCGTGGGCATTGAGGACAGGGCTCGACGTGGGAGCTTAGCAGTGGGTCTGGAGCTTGGATGGCCCAAAACCCCAGCTTCCTGTCACCCCCCACCATATCTCCCACCCCCTCCGGGAAGGGAAATTACATTTCCCCATTTTAGCAAGGGGTGGCGAAAGGGAAGAGTGAGTGAACACAAAGCTGAAAGTACAAGCAGGACGGAAAGTGAAACTGGGCGCAGCCCCCAGTATAAGACCCCCCCTACTCAGGAGATGGCTGACCAAAGAGGCTGGGCCCCGGCATGGGCCAGATGGCAGGCGACCTTGGCTGGCGTGAGTTTAAAGCCAGGGGTGGGGGGCTTGGCTGAGTTTGGGCAGAGGATGGATGAGCTTGGCTGGTGCAGATGGGGGCTGAGAGCTGAGAGCAGCAACTTGACCAAGACTGAGGACTCGGCTGGCTATAGGATGGGAAGGAGGCTAGCGTAACTGGGTGGGGCCCTGGGGCAGTGGGGTGGTGGTTTGACCCAGGGCCGGGCAAAGGATGGGAAAGAAGCCTTGGCTACTGGGAATGGGGAGGGTTGGACCAGCGATTTGACAAGGACCAGGTCTAGGCAGATCAATGAAGAGTTTGTAATGAATAAGCAGAAGCCAAACAGCTTGGCTAAGACTGAGGATGGGACCGGCTGGAGGAAGAGCAGAAGGAGGCACTGGCACTAGTGGGGCGCTGGGGCCAAGGCATCAGCAGCAGCTTCACTGGGCCAAAGGTCTTTAGTTTGATGCTTGAAAGGAGGTTTAATCTGCGGCTGGGGGCGCAGAACTCAGGGGCTAGAACCAGAGCAGTAGGCAGAGGAGAAGGTAACATGCCATGTAGGGCAGGTAGGGACCAAAGGCTGGATGACAGAAGCAGAACCTTCCAAGGCCACAGCCAACGATCCAGGATCGGCTATAGAGGGTAAAGAGAGGGTCTGGGGGCTCCAGAGCTCAGGTAGGAGATGGCAAAACTCACTTATGGTTGGGCTTGATCCAGCAGGGACTAGGGGCACCCACTCCCGTCCCCAGCACTGAGCTAGGAAGAACCCCACTCTGCCTTAAATCTCCAGGTTGTCAGAGGGCCCGAGTGGCCTCTGAGCCAGGGAGTCTGAATGCCAGAGATCTTAGGTTAGGCATTGCCCACCATACCTGGAAGTCCATGAAGGAGGTGGATGTCCCTAGAAGCTCCCCTTCACCTTTATCAAGGGGACATTTAGAAGAGCAGAGCCCAGGGGTTAGAGATCAAGAGAGGACGGGGAAGAGGCAGGGAGAGAAGGGAGAGCAGGATGGACTTCGGGCCAGTTTTGGTTTGTGTTTCGAGGAGAATTGTGTAACTTTTGTGCTTGCTAGATTTCCTTTCCCTGAGGGGGAAATTGCTGAATGCTGCCCTCTTCCTAGAGCCCCCACCTCCTACCCCTCTTTCCAGGAAAACAGGTCAGGAAGCACACTCAGAATTCAGCCACTCTAGGCTGGGCGCAGTGGCTCATGTCTGTAATTCCAGCACTTTGGGAGGCCAAGGCGAGTGGATCACCTGAGATCAGGAGTTCAAGATCAGCCTGGCCAACATGGCAAAACCCTGTCTCTACTAAAAATTTAAAAAAAATTAGCCAGGCGTGGTGGCACATGCCTGTAATCCCAGCTACTTGCTGAGATTACAGATGAGGCAGGAGAATCGCTTTAACCCGGGAGGTGAAAGTTTCAGTGAGCCAAGATTGTGCCACTGCACTCCAGCCTGGGCGACAGAGTGAGACTATGTCTTTTTTTTAAAAAAAAAAAAACTCCCATATTGTCGATTCTCCCCAGGCAGTTTCCCCTGCCAGGATCCACCTGCCGTGTGGAGGCTGGACCAACCTGTCCTTTTGACTCCCTGGGATAGAGCCTCCGGCATTGCCAGCCCATCCTTGGGGACCATATGGCCAGTTCAAGCCATCAGAGCTGCCTGGCTGAGCCCAAGGAATCCCTGGCAGAACATGATGTGCCCACTCCTGGGGCAGGTGGCTGCCTCCCTCTGCATTCTCTGGGGAAAACCCATGGGCTCTGCACTTGGAAAAATCTGGAATCCAGTCCTGGTTCCCCACCTTCTGGCTATTTGACCTTGGGCAAGTCATCCTCACTGAGTCTCATCCGAAAAATTGGGAGAACAATAGCACTGAGGCTGCCACGAGTGGTTGTGCAGGTTGCTCACTGGAAAAGGCATTTGGCTAAGGGAGTTTATGGGGGTCAAAATCCAGCCTCTGTCCTGGCACAGTGGCTCATGCCTGTGATCCCAGCAGTTTGGAAGGCTGAGGCAGGAGTATATTTTGAGGCCAGGAGTTCAAGACCACCCTGGGCAACATAGTGAGACCCTGTCTCTACAAAATAAAAATAAAAAAAAAGAAATAATTAGCTAGGCACAGTGGTGTGTCCCTGTGGTCCCAGCTACTGGAGAGGCTGAAGCAAAAGGATCATTTGAGCCCAGGAGTTCAAGGCTACAGTGAGCTGTGATCACACTACTGCTCTCCAGCCTGAGTGATGGAACAGATCTCTGTTTAAAAAAAAGAAAAGGATCAGGCTTCTGGTCTTTCTACAAAATTGGGCACTCCATATGGAGATGCCATATGAGGGCCATGCTGGCTGCATTGTGGGGTTTTATTTTGTTTTCTTTGAGACAGAGTCTGGCTCTGTCATCCAGTCTGGAGTGCAGTGGCGTTATCTCAGCTCACTACAGCCTCCGCCTCCCGGGGCTCAAGTGATTCTCATGCCTCAGCCTCCTGAGTGGTTGGGATTACAGGTGTGCGTTACCATGTCTGACTAATTTTTGTATTTTTTTATTTTATTTTATTTATTTATTTATTTATTTATTTATTTATTTTTTTGAGACAGAGTTTCGCTCTTGTTACCCAGGCTGGAGTGCAATGGCGCGATCTCGGCTCACCGCAACCTCCGTCTCCTGGGTTCAGGCAATTCTCCTGCCTCAGCCTCCTGAGTAGCTGGGATTACAGGCACGTGCCACCATGCCCAGCTAATTTTTTGTAGTTTTTAGTAGAGACGGGGTTTCACCATGTTGACCAGGATGGTCTCGATCTCTTGACCTTGTGATCCACCCGCCTCGGCCTCCCAAAGTGCTGGGATTACAGGCGTGAGCCACCGCGCCTGGCCAATAATTTTTGTATTTTTTAGTAGAGACAGGATTTCGCCATGTTGACCAGGCTGGTCTTGAACTCCTGGCCTCAGGTGATCTACCCACCTTGCCCTCCCAGATTGTTGGGATTACAGGCATGAGTCACTGCATCTGGCCTCTATTGTGGTTTTGAGGGGGCAGTGAAATGATGCTGGCGAAAGTGCCTGCACCGTGCTCACAGCTAGCACACGCTCCGAAAAGCTGTGTTCCCTTCCTTCCCCCGAGTTCTCAAGCTCTCTCCCCATCTTGCCCACCCTCTCCCATCTCTCCAGGGCTCAGCCTGTTGCTGCTTCCCTTGCTCCTGGTGCAAGCTGGTGTCTGGGGATTCCCAAGGCCCCCAGGAAGGCCCCTGCTGAGCCTGCAGGAGCTGCAGAGGGAGTTCACCGTCAGCCTGCATCTCGCCAGGAAGCTGCTCTCCGAGGTTCGGGGCCAGGCCCACCGCTTTGTAAGTCTTCCTAATGCAGCTGGTGCTGGGCATGGGCAGATTCCCAATCCCTTCTGGCCCCCACTAACAGACCTTGCCCCCCAGGCTGAATCTCACCTGCCGGGAGTGAACCTGGACCTCCTGCCCCTGGGAGAGCAGCTTCCCGGTGTTTCCCTGACCTTCCAGGCTTGGCGCCGCCTCTCTGTGAGTGAGGGCTGGTGGGGTGGGGTGGGGCGGGAAGCTCGCTATAGGCTGGGGCCAGGGTGCAGGATGAGGCTGGAGATTGAGCCGGAGATGCACTGGGGATAGAACCTGGATGAGGTCAAGTATGTCATTGGACATAAAGATGAAAGCCAGGCACCGTGACTTACACCTATAAACCCAGTGCTTTGGGAAGCTGAGGTGAAGGACTGCTTGAGGCCAAGTGTTCAAGACCAGCCTGAGCAACATAGAGAGACTTTATCTCTACAGAAAAACTTTAAGAGTTAGCCAGGCATGATAGTGCACACCCCTGTGGTCCTTGCTACTCAGGAGGCTGACGTGGGAGGATGGCTTGAGCTCAGGAATTAGAGGCTGCAATGAGTTATGATCATGCCACTGCACTCCAGTCTGGGTGACAGAGAGAGACCTTGTCTCAAAAAAATAAATAAACAACCAGGCGTGGTAGCTCATGCCAGTAATCCCAGCACTTTGGGAGGCTGAAGCGGGCTGATTACCTGAGGTCAGGAGTTCAAGACCAGCCTGGCCAACAGGAAAAAAACCCATCTCTGCTAAAAAAAAAAATACAATAATTAGCTGGGAGCAGTGACTCACACCTGTAATCCCAGCACTTTGGGAGACTGAGGCAGATGGATCACCTGAGGTCGGGAGTTCGAGACCAGCCCAACCAACACGGAGAAACCGCATCTCTACTAAAAATACGAAAATTAGCCAGGCGTTGTGGCATGGGCCTGTAGTCCCAGCTACTCAGGAGGCTGAGGCAGGAGAATTGCTTGAACCCAGGAGGTAGAGGTTGCAGTGAGATGAGATCGCACAACTGCACTCCAGCCTGGGCGACAGAGCGAGACTTCATCTCAAAATACATAATTAAACAAACATACAAACAAACAATAAAGATGAAGCTAGAATAAGGAAATGGGGTTGGGAAGAGGTCAGAGTGGAGCTGGGTGTGGAATATGGCGGGCGTAGGACTAGAGTGAGGCTGGAGGTGGAGATCACAGCAGCATGGGGGAGTGGAGGTGGCACTGGGGAGAGACTGCGGATAGTCAGAGATGAGAAGGTTGGAGATGAGGGTGAACATGAAGCAGCGGATGGAGAAGGGGTGGGATTGCTGGTGGGAAGGGAATGGAATGGAGTTGGAGATGGGATGGGGAGATGGGAGGAGTGACTGTGCACATGGAGCAAGGATGGAGTTGGGGTTAGAAATGGGAAAGAGGCTGGAGATGGGATGGAAACGCGTGGCAGAAGGTAGGATGGGATGGCAGAGGAGGGAAGGGCACAGGGCTGCGGGTGGAGGGTGCTGTGGGGACTAGGTAGGGTGGGTTGGAGAAGATCGTGGGCATGGGAGTGAAAGGGAAGCTGGAAGAGGAGATGGGGCAGAGGACCCAGACGGTGGAGATGGATGGGATGGGGACAGAGCTGGGCCCAGGTTGGGAAGAGCTACAGGGATGGATTGGAGGCTGGAGTGTGAAATGGGAAGGAGACCCGGATAGGGAGGAGGTGGGTGTGATGTGGCCATCTTTGGCCTGTGGGCCTTTCCTGACCATCTCCCTGCCCTTCAGGACCCAGAGCGCCTCTGCTTCCTCTCTACCACACTTCAGCCCTTCCATGCCCTACTGGGAGGGCTGGGGACCCAGGGCCGCTGGACCAACACAGAGAGGATGCAGCTGTGGGCCATGAGGCTGGACCTCCGGGATCTGCAGCGGCACTTCCGCTTCCAGGTAGAGCCCGGCCACCCTCGGCCACCCCAGAAAAGAAGACTCGCTGGCTCATCCAGCGATCTCATGTTCTGAGTGTGTGTGAGTGAGAGTGTAAGCATGTGAGTGTGGCTGTGAGTGGTTGAGTCCATAAATATGAGTGTGGGGGTCTTGAGTGTGAGTGTGTGAGTGTGATTGTGTGTGGGTGGGTCTGTGCCTGTGAGCGTGGCTGTGAGTGGGTGAGTCCATAAGTATGAGTGTCGGGGTCTTGAGTGTGAATGTGATTGTGTGTGGGTGGGTCTGTGCCTGTGAGTGGGTGAGTCCATGAGTGTGCAAGTGAGTGTGAGGGGGGTCTTGAGTGTGAGTGTGATTGTGTGTGAGCGTGTGGGTCTGTGCATGTGAGCATGACTGTGAGTGGGTGAGTCCATAAGTGTGAGTGTGAGTGTGACTGAGTGTGTGACTGTGAGTGTGTGTGGCTCTGTGTGTTAGCATGACTGTGTAAGTGTGAGTGTGAGTGTGAGAGTGTGACTGTGTGTGTGTGTAGCTCTGAGTGTGAGTGTGAGCATGACTGTGTGTTGGTCTGTGAGTGTGAGTGACTATGAGAGAGAGAGAGAGAGAGAGAGAGTGTGTGTGTGTGTGTGTGTGTGTGTGCAGCCGCACCAGGCCCTGGTGCCACTCTTAATCTTTGAATTCTCCTGGGGCTCCATCTTGAACAGGAGGCCATTGGGCTGTGAGGTCACTCGGGGTTTGTCCTGAGTGCCCCGCACAGCGTCTGCCTCCTGTTTCCCTTCTCCCTCTGATTCTCTGACGTCACCCAGATCCTCCAGAACCTTTCAAAGGGAAATCAGAATTTTACCCTTAATGAAATGAGAATAGAAAATGCAAGCAGCAGGGCCAGGTGTGGTGGCTCATGCCAGGAATTCCAGCACTTTGGGAGGCCAAGGCGGGTGGATCATTTGAGGTCAGGAGTTCGAGACCAGCCTGGCCAACATGGTAAAATCCCATCTCTAAAAATACAAAAATTATCTGGGTGTGGTGGTGCATGTCTGTAATCTCAGCTACTCGAAAGGCTGAAGCAGGAGAACTGCTTGAACTGGGGAGAGAGAGGTTGCAGTGAGCTGAGATAGCGCTACTGCACTCCAGCCTGAGTGACAGAGTGAGACAGAAAGGAAGGGAAGGGGAGAGGAGGGGAGGGAACAGAAGGGGAGGGAAGGAGAGGGAAGGGGAGAGGAAGGGCACAGTGGCTCACAACTGCAATCCCAGCACTTTGGGAGGCTGAGGCGGGTGGATCGCGAGGTCAGGAGTTCAAGACCAGCCTGGCCAACATAGTGAAACCCATCTCTGCTAAAAAAAAATACAAAAAATTAGCTGGGCATGGTAGCGGATGCCTGTAATCCCAGCCACTCAGGAGGCTGAGGAAGGAGAATCGCTTGAACCCAGGAGGTGAAGGTTGCAGTGAGTCGAGATCATACCATTGCACTCCAGCCCCGGCAACAGTGTGAGACTCCATCTCAAAAAAAAAAAAAAAAAGGAAAGAGCAAGCAGCAGGGAAACTGAGCTACGTCACCCTCTGCCCTCTGCCTGTTGTTGGCCCGACCCAGGAGCAACCTTAACAGCAGAGAGAAACTTCCTGAGCCACACCCCCAGGGCCATCCTTGGGGTGACCTAGCTCTGTGAGCATCCTCATGCTCCTTGACTTCCATTTTCTCAAACCAAAAGATCAAGCAGAATGCGCTAGCAGGTGACATCATGGAAGATCACGTAGGGAATGTCCCGGGGAAATCCTGACCTTATGGTCACTGATGTCATTAGGAGCCGCTAGGCACGAATAGGGAATGAGGATTCACTCCAGTTCTCTGCCTGGCCCCTCCCTGACCCATGGTCTCTCCCCACAGATGCGGGCTGCAGGATTTCACCTCCTGGAAGAGGAGGAGGAAGAGGAGGAGGAAGGGAAGGGGCTGCTGCCAGGGGCACTGGGCAGTGCCTCGCAGGTGCCGGCACAGGTGTCCTGGCCCCAGCTCCTCTCCACCTACCGCCTGCTGCACTCCTTGGAGCTCGTCTTATGTCGGGCCGTGCGGGACTTGCTGTTGCTGTCCAAGGCCGGGCACCCAGTCCGAGCCCTGGGGTTCCCAACACTGGGCCCCCAGCCCTGATCGGGTGACTTCTTAGCCCCCTGCCCCTCACCCTTTAGGACTTTAGGATTGGAGTCTTGGCGTCAGGGCAGCCTCCGCATCATCAGCCTTGGACAACGCAAGGCTGTTCCAGCCTGCTGCCCCAGGCGCTACCCGCTAACCGAAAGCCCCTCCAGTCCTCGCCAGCTATTTATTTCCTGGATACTTATTTATTGTTTAGGAAGATGATGGTTTATTTATTGTCTCGGGGCCTGCTGGTCCTCCAGGGATGCTGGGTGCCTAATAAAACACTCTTACCCACCCCTGGCCTCCACTTCTCTTCGGGGAAGGGCTGCCTGACACCCAGAGGGCAACGCAGCGTGGAATGGGGTCAGCAACCTCTAACCATCCTGAACCCCTCTCTGCTCCTACATTTTTGGGGTCCCTGGTCCACCTTCCCTACTATGTCCTGCTCAGCCAGGCAGTTGCCACAGTAACCAGCAGAGTTCTCAGCTACCATTTTGGAAGCTCAAGGCAGCTGGTCTTTGACTCTGAAGGGTGCTCCTTACGCCCTCCTAACCGCTTTCCTTTGGACTGGCCTTGACTCCAGAGGTCTGTGTTACCCCACCCAGTTCTGAGGGTCATGGTGCAGGGAGGTGGGTTAGGGAGCGGGAGTCAGAGAGGGATGCCTGTATGGAGAATGATCTCTGTTCCCTCTCAGTCTTCCTTGCAGTCTATTTTTTAATTTTGTTTTTAAAAGATGGGGTCTTTTGCTATGTTGCCCAGGCTGGTCTCAAACTCCTGGTCTCAAGTGATCCTCCCACCTTGGTGCCTCAAAGCTCTGGGGTGACAGGCGTGAGACCCTGTCCCTGGCCTCCTTGCAGTCCAGACAACTGACTCAGGTTAGGGAGGAACCAGGGCAGGAATGCTGAGAGGTGGTCTCAGTGGGGTAGGTGGTCCACCAGCCTGCACTGGAGAATCACACTCAAGTTCAAGGTCTTCCCAGACATCTGGTTTTGCCTGCCCCATGAATGATACACCAAGACGCTGAGGCCCAGAGGGCGGAGAGGGTGCATCCACAGTGGCAGAGGGAGCAGGGCTCAGTGGCGTCCAAGTGAGGCTTCTGGTCCCCACTCGCCTTCCAGGGTGCCAGGTCTCAGTCACTGGGGCTTGGGCCGGCCCAGACGGGCATGCAGCTCCTGCATCATGCCAGGGTGTGCGAGGCCAAACCTGGAGGCAGAAGTTGGATCCGTGAGAATGGCTCCCCAGATGCCCAAGGTCTCTTCCCCACCCTAGCTGAGTCACCCTGTGCCTACCCGTGTCCCAGGGGCCTTCTCCTGGCTGGCACCGGGGTCCCATCATGCCTCAGAGCGCTTGGCTTGGGGGGTTCCTCCGGCTGGAGGAGTCTCTGCTCAGGGGCTGACGGCTCCTCCTCCTCGGAAGGGTTGGGGACTGGGGGCTCCTCCTGCTGCTCCAGGACCAGGGTCCGACGAAAAGAGGGCCGCGAGCGACGCTGCGAGGAGCTTCTCGAGAGATGCACGCGGCTCCTTGGGACAGAGACATCTAGGAGGGATCCGGGGAGCAGAGCCTGCAGGAAAAGGGGCATGGAGGACCATGGGGCCAGCTTGGGGATTCCACTCGGTCCCTGCCAGACCCCATCAGGAGCCCTCACCTCGCTCCAGCTGCTGGCAGCACCTCCTCTGGCACTGCCGATGGCCTCAGCTGTCTCCGCATTCCCAAGTGACCCCGGTGCAGCTTCTGCAGGGGCTTGGCATGTTGGCCATTCCTCCTGGACCCTGATGTCCTCCAGGCTTTCTGGCTCAGTCTCCTCGGCCCCTGCCCTCTGGCCCCCGGTCACCGTGAGACCCTCTGCATCGAGGAGCCTTGGTGGCTCTCCCTCGGGGTTGTGATCCCCACGCCGCCCCTTACTGTCCTCCCGCTCCTGTTCTCTCTCCTGCCATCCAGCGGCCTCTTCTTCCAACAGTGTCCACTCTTCTAAAAGCCCCCCAGCCTCCACCATGGCTCCTGTCCCCTCTGCCCTCGCTGTGTGGGAACCCACACCATCCAGCCCACAGCTGTCCTCTGCACCTGCAGATTCCCCGGCCTCTACCCGCCCTCTCCCACGCTCTCCCTCCCTGGCCTCAAAAGCCTCTGCTGGGCCACCTCTGTCAGCCACCTCTTCTTCTGTTGACCCCTCCAGGCCAAACTCCTGCCCGCCTGCATCCTCTCCCACCGCTGCCTCCTCCCTTTCTTTCGAGTCCCATCCTCGTCCAAGCGCCCCTTCCAAAGCTTCACCAGCACCAGCAGCGCTGACGTCTGGGACCACCTCACCCCCCATAATCTCAGCAGCCACGGAGCCAGTCTGTGTGTCCTCATGGCCATGGAGGCCCACAGCTGCCGCCTGCAGCCTCCAGCCTCCCCCAGGCGTTCCGTCGGCCTCCGCCTCCCCATCCTTGGTTTCCCGGGCATAGGCCTCTCCCAGTGACCGGCCCGGCCCTGAGTCTGCCCCTGTGCTTCCGTGCAGCTCCTGGTTCTCTGAGTCACACGTCTCTCCCTCCTCAATTCCACACCCCGTGTGTTTGGATGCCGGCCCCTCCCCACCTGCCTCTGGGACTTCTGGCAGTTCAGACTCTCGGTCTCCTTCGGCCTCAGCCTCCGGGGTCTGGTCTCCTGCAGCCTCCTCCTCCCGCTGCTCACCCTGGGCCGCTTCCTCCTGGGTATTCCCTGGGAAGGCCTCGGAGGCCTCGGGCTTTACAAACCCCACGAGCCTGGGACCTGCCTCCAGGCTCCTCTGCTCTTTGCTCAGGGTGAGAGCTCCCCAGAGCTCCGCCTCACCTGCCCACCCTTCCTCGGGTTGCTTGGTTGGGGTCTGGGCGCCCCCCATCAGCTCAGGCTCCTGGCCTTTGGAGACCCTGTGTGTGAGGCCACCCCACTCCGCCCCCAGGGCGCTGCAGCTGCTCTGGGCTGCCTCACTCTCCTCCCCTGTGAGCTCCTCCTCAGGCCTGGCCTCTGGGGTTGCCTCCAAGTCAGCAGCTCCTTCAACCTCTCCATCCGAGGGCAGCTCAGCCGCTGGGTCCCCGCCGCTCACTCTCTCCTCCCGGGCCTCCTCTGCCTGTACCACCTCCTCCAGCCCGGCCCGGTCAGCCCTGATCTCCAAGTGCCGACTCCCCTCAGCCACCTTCCCACGCTGGTCAGCCTGACCCTCAAAGCTCTCCCCTGCCTCCTGGCCTTCAGCAGCCTCCCTCCCTGCTGTCTGGCTCTCAGCGGCCTCTTCCATTCTCTCAGTGCCCAGGGCCTGGGCCTGTTTGGGGAAAGGGCTCACCTCAGCTTCTCTCTCCTCATCCCCCTCCTCCTCTAGGACCCAGACTTTTCCAGTAGCCTCTAGGAACCTTTCTCCCAGGATTGCTCCATATTCTGTCTCTCTGACTCCTAAGAAGTCAGCCTTCTCGCCTGAGGTTGTCCAGGCCTCCTTGCCTCCTGAGACTGTCCCAGCCTCCTCCCCTCCTGAGGCTGCCTCCTCCCCTCCCGAGGCTGTCCCGGCCTCCTCCCCTCCTGAGGCTGCCTCCTCCCCTCCTGAGGCTG